CAGCTTCTGCGCCGCATGTGGCTGAAGGGCATTTGTCTCCAGCGCCGCCTCGATGGCCCGGAGGAGTTTGGCCACCCTGGAGGGGGTAGGCCGCAGATCCACCCAAAATCGGAAGCGCACACCAGCGCCGGTTCCACGCCGAGGCAGTCGGACACCTCCTTGGCTGACGCCGGCTGCATGACCACATTCTCAAACATGAAGCCGACCCGCCAGCCACGAAGCGCCGCCCTCAGCTCCAGGACGAACTCCGCCGAGCGCAAGAACAGGCTGCCGCGAGTGCCGCTGTGGCCAGCCTCTGCGCCGATTTGGGAGAAATCTTGGCAGGGGGGCGCCGCGACGAGGAGGATCACACACTCACCGGCCGGGTCCAGCCGAGTCCGCAAGTGAAGTCGCCCCTCTGCCGGAGCCAGGGCAGCCGGATGGATGTCAAGCGCCGGCAAGTCTTGTCTGTCTCCCACGCCATGCCCGCCCACGGTGTACCGAAGAGGTCCTCGACCGGCGCCGCCCCGACGCCGTCAAAGAGGGAGAGCAGGATGTACTTGCCGTTTCTGCGCGCCGGCCTGGCCGGCTTCAACACCACCGCCTGCGCGGCCGAAGCGCCGGGCGGGGCCCCGCGCTGTCCCTAGAGCCTGTGCTTCTGCGGGCGGTCGCCGTCCTGCGCCTGGGAGTCTCTCTTCCCGCCGCGGTCCTGCCACGACTGGGCCCGGTCGGCATTAGCCCACCGCCGATCATCATGCCAGTCCTGGCGGCCGGGCTGCTGGTTGGAGTCGCCCCGAGGGCGCCAGTTCTGCCGCCAGCCGCCACCACCGCCGCCGCGGCTGTCCGAGCCACCCTCATCGCCGCGGTGCTGGTGCTGCTGTTGCGCCTGGCGAGGGTTGTTGCGGCGCCGCCGGTTCTTCTTGACCTCTGGTGCGCCGCGGCGCCGCGGGGCCTGGCGGGCCGTCCGTCTCCGGGTCTGGCGGGTTGAAGCCCTCGCTACCCTTCCCTCGGAGGCCGCGGGCGGGAGAGGATGTCCAGGAACGCCGCCTGGTCCTTCATGATCTCCGCCGTGACCTCCTCGAACATCCGGCGAAGGCGCATCTGCATTGCCAGGCGCCGGGAGGACGCGTCCCAGTACTCCGTGATCGCCTCGAGCTGGGATGGCCGGGCCTTCGACGTCCACCACTGGGCGTACTCCGCCGCCCCTTTCTCCGTGGCCACGCCGGTCCACGCCCAGCACACCGCCTCGATGCCGTCGATGACGCCGAGGACCCCCCTCGGGGTCCAAGGGTCCTCCCGGTCATGGACCAGTGCGCCGTCCACCAACCGGATCGCCTGGCCCCTCTCCTTGTGGCGCCGGCGGCGACCGTCACCTCGTTGTACCGCTTGACCAGCGGCCCCCACTCCGGGAACGTCTTCGGCGGCTTGTCGCCGGGAAGGGCCGGCACCACCGCTCCAGGGGCAGCCGCCGACGAGGCCGGCGTGGTCACCGGCCGGTGCCGGGACCGCGATGTGGGTGGCCCACTGCTTGTGCGCCTCGGCCCACATGTGGTGCAGGATAGCCTCGACGACCGCCTGCTCCGCCTCCGGCGCCTGGTGCACGGTGCCGGCGATCTCCACCCCGTCCAGGAAAGGCCGGACGACGCGGTCCTCAAACTCTGGCCAGGAGTGTGCGATGAGGGCCAGCGTCGCCGTGCGGTTCAGGTTGCGGGCCGCCGTGAGTTGAGGGCCAGCCCCCGCCGCCGCCGCCAGATCCACGAACGGCGTCATGATGGTCGCCGCCAGTGCGGGCGCAGCCGAGGGCGCCGCAGGGGCCGCAGGAGCTGGGGGAAAGCCCGGAGCCGCCATGACAGCCGCAGCACCGACGAGGGGAGACCTAAGCGGAGGCACGCCGAGGGCGGGCGACAAGGGAGAGCCAGAGAGCTATTGCCGCAGGTAATGCACTCAACCGCCAGCAAGGGAGGCACAGCCACAGCCGCTCACTATGCACCGCCTTCGCCAGCTGTTTTCTCACGATGAAGAGCTGTCCGACTCGGACGCCGAGCTGGACGCCACCGGTGAGTCCACCGGCTCGGTCGGTGAACCTTCACCTTCCCCCGGAGCCGGCGCCGGGAAACAGCGGGCGCACCAAGCGGCGGACGCCGGCTTCTCGGACACTCTAAAAAGCGCCGGATGCCATACGGCCACGCGCCGCACCTTGACCTCCACAGGAACTGCTCCGTGCTAGCTTCCGCCGGGTCAGGGCGGTGCACCTTAGCCTCTGTGGGCTGGGCGCCCCGCCCCCAGCCGTGGCTCGCCGAGCCTCATCGGTGGCCGACGTGCCGCCGTAGCTCCCAGCCAGGACTCTGCCGGGGATCTCCGGGGCCACCGCCAGCGGGGCCGCCTGAACATAGCGCTCCACCGCCGTGGAGGACCAACGACCCAGCAACTGGATGATCGCTGTCGGTACCCCCTTGGACGCGAGCCAGGCCGCGCCGGCTACCCGCGCCGCGTGGCCGGCGAACAGCTGCACGATCTGGCCCTCGTGGTCGACCGTGGTGAGGGCCACGCCGGCTGCCAGCAGCACCCGCCGGAAGAGCAGCACCTTTGGCCCAGGTGGCGCCCGCCGCGTCCGGGAACAAGGGCCCGCCTCGGTGCCAGAGGCCCGCCGCTTTCAGCCGGGACACATGGCGCAGTGCAGCATGTGCCGGGCACATCGGCCGGGACTGGATGCCGCAAGCGCAGCGGAGCTGCCGCGCGTGAGTTCTCTCTCACCACCCTGCGCCGTCTTGTGCAGCGCAGCGGACGCCGGCGAGGGGTCCAGCAGAGGCTCCAGCCGCATCGCCGGGAAGATCGCCTTGAGCTTGGACCCCGCAAGGCCACGTACCACCGCCTTGGCGTAACGCCGGATGGCCCGCCGGACGAGCGGGTCCACCAGCTCGCCGCGGAAGTGTTCCTGGTAGGTCACCGCCGCGTCGAAGTAGTTTTGCGCCGAGCGGCACCAACCCTTCCGCATGCTCGCCGCGACCTTCCTGACTGAGTCCAGGGAGATCGGCCACGCCGGCAGGGCCCAGGCCGCCGTGAAGTCCACCCAGGTCCGGACCCTGGACCGGAAGGGTCCCTCAGAGGAGCGCGCCATGATAGCGCCGTCAACGTCCGCCAACGACTCCGCCTGGAGCTCTGGCAAGGCCGCCTGTCCGTCCTCTTGCAGGCTCGCCGACCAGCACCGACCGGCTGCGCCTGGCACGGCTCCGCTCCACCAGGCGCCTCTAGTGGCTCGCCCTGCTCGCCTGGCGGGAGGGCCAACCTGCTCTCCGGGCGCCGGGGCTCGACGTGAGCTCTCCGGGGCCGGGCGCCACGCCCCCAGCCTGAGGAGCACCTCTTCTGGCACGCCGGCAGCGCGCCAGTGTTGTCCAAGGCGCCTCGGAGGTCGTGCAGGCAGAATCGGCAGGAACTCTTGAGCCTGGATGTCGCTGGCTTGTGCAAGTCTATGCTTTTTTGTGCTTTTTTGTTTTGTTTCTTCCTGCCTTGACGGATGTGTTGCCTTTTGTCCGACCTTCTGTTGCCCTGACCCTGCTGTTTACCTAATTTTACACTTTGGCTTGATTTACTGTAAACGAAGGATTTAGTGTAAAATGACCAAATTTACGTAAATTTTCTGGTGAGCTAAAAACATGACAAAACACATAAAAACATTATGCAAACACAAACATGGAACTTATATTTGCGGCTGCAAACTTAGACACCACATGTAAAGGATTTAAAAAAATCACCGGCATGAGTTTGTTTTGCTCTGCAATCGCAGACACCACATGTAAAGGATCCACAGCAGAAGTAAGGACTTTTCCGAAAATTCGCAGGCCAAAAGCCATAAACTAACCAAAGAGAATCCATGCAGATTGCTTATAAGATCCACACCAGTATATACGACAACTGTGATTCAAAAGCCCAAACAAAAGACCAGGAGCACCACATATAGCAGAGAGACACTCTTTTTTTTCGCGACAGAAAAAAAAGAAGCTCTCACGATCGCCCAACTTTGCCCCGCAGAAACAAAAGGTGCCTCTCTTTGAGGGCAGCCTTTTTGGAAGCATGCCAGTGCTTCACCCCTGCCAAACAACTCTTCCATAGAATCTGCAGGCGATGCATCGTCGTCTCTCCCTTGTAGCACCAGAGCATCGACGGATGAATAAAACTGCTGAGTAGGAGACTATGCAAAACGAAGTGGGTCTTACTTGTGAGATTGAAGAGCTTCTCCCCCGTCCCTTTGTAGTGGGCTTGCAGGCTGCTGTGGAGCTGTGCCATTTGGCAACCGAGCTTGAAAGCCAGGTTTGCTTGCGCCTCAGGTAAAGCCAAGAAGCCGTACCGTGGCCCATAAGCTTCCAATATTTCAGCCAGCTGCAGGTTCAACCGCAAAAAGAGCCGGATTTGCTTGTGTTGATAGATACCCTCGTCCATTTGCTCTTCGAATAGAGCAAGAATTGCACTGTCCAAAGATTGAATATCGGAAGCTCTTCCTCTCATCTTGGGGAATCCTTTTTTTGGTTGTATCATTGTAAGTTTCAGAAGTCGCTGGCGGAATGTGTATCTGGTTTCGTTGTCTCGCTGGTACTTCTTGATGAAGGAGTCGCAGTATTTCAAATTCGCCAAGATACTCCCACCCAAACAATCGTGGACCACGATGCTGAGCACGGAGCCATAAAAAAACTGTATCCACCCCAAAAACATACAATGCATATAGTCCATCGTGATACAAAGTCTCGAAAAGCCAGGTAAAGAATACAGCTGGCATGATGGATTCCAGTGGGATCTCCAGTTGGTGGTGGTGAGGCACGAGGCTTGCCACGGCGAATTTGCACGATTGTCCATCCATGTTAGTGGTCCTTTGAAGGCGGCCCGACAAGGAGCACAAGGTTTGCTGTGATTGCTCCATCGTGGAACCTCCAGCCATTTCGCATAATAATCCAAGTCGCCAGCCATTTGAACCAGGACACCATAATATCCTCCGCATAGGTCGGTTCCCTCTCGTTCGCCCTCCTTTGTACTGGCCCCATACCTCTGTGCCGTGTAACAAACATTTTCTTACTTGTGAGACAGGTTCATATATATCTACATATATATATCTACATGTGGTGAGAGTGTTTTTTACGTATACTGTGTGGTGATTTTTCTCACATCCGGTTCGTGCTGCTTTGGGATTCCACGGGTCCGTGGTTTTGTGGCTTATATATGTTTATACGATATTATATACTGTGTATATATATATATATATCATCACCATCAAGGAAGCTGTTGGGTTAGGGTTGGATTTGAGAACAGGGCCCTCATACATAGGGTGTGTATGTATATAGTCACATATCTAAAACAGGACCCACATCATAAAAAATCAAGAAAGACAAAAAGGCTTACAGCTTATAGGGTTCCCACAGGGTCCTAAAATGTAAGGGTTTCCAGATTGCTGGCACATGTGTACATATACAACAACACACCAGGCTGCTTCTTGCCTTGCCAATCCCGAGCAGGCCATTTACCGGTGTAAAGAATGTTGAAAGACCAATACATCACTTGCCAAAAAGTTTCCATTGTCCCAGCCCCCTCGCCGCCAGCCGGAATAATGTACTTCTCAAAAACGCCCCAAATGTAGAGGTTGCAATCGGCAGCAGATCGGCCGGCCGCTGTGGCCATCAGCGATACCCATGAAAAAGCCAAAACACTGCGAGCCCATATCTTGCCCACTCCCAAAACAGGAACTTCGTCGCCGTGTATGCAAAGGGGAATAGCCCTTTGCATCCAATTAGCTCGCGATTTTACCGCATGATTTGACATGCAAGGGTGTCCATTTAACGATCTCCAAAACCGAGGCAAAGCCTCCGCATCAGGCAACACAGAAGTAATCCATCCAGTCGTCGTCTTCCAAAGGTGGTGCATAATCTCGTGCGGAAGCAATATCATGGAAGTCGCCGTGCCTTCGACTTGTCCTGCTAAGGGAATATTAAATTCTGTCGGCATCGGAAGATTGGACTGCTGGGCCAAGTGGTTGTCAATAGAAGATTGCAAATTTTTTCCATGCTTCACCTTGCTGAGCCTGTCCAAATCAGGAAGAATTTTCCCGTCCCTTGCATTTCTAATATCGGCCGCCGCTGCAACTGCAATTGCATGAATCATAGAGGCCGACAGGAGGCCTTGTGCCAAATACGTCATCAGCAAATCGTGCAAAGAACTTGAGGTGGACTTCTCACTCACCGCCTGGCCCAATCTCTGTTGGACCCCACCCTTTCGTCGCTTTCGCTCGGGCCCTGCATCCTCCATGTTACCTTCTCTCCATATATAAATAAACAGAACAGCACCTTTATGCAAAGTTGGTGTTTGTTGCCAGCTGAACTTTTGTGCCTTATTTCATACAGTGGTTTGTTCGCTATAGCCATAAAACATTTTATAAGGACGGGACACCCATGGTCAGACACACCGAGCATTGAGGCTGAGGCTTGTGAGCAAGTTATACATATATGTGTGGGCACCAAATATACTACACAAACAACAACAGAAAGCTTTTGCCCCAACCCCGCAAAACCCAAACCCCCTAAACCACACGGTCCACTGCCCCTCAATCTGGACGAAACAAATCTTGTGAGGGGTTATATATAAGGTTCAGGATTTAAGGGTTTATAGAGGGTTCAGGGTTTGGGGTTACGAAGGTTGTGTTGTGAGCTTCACAGGGTTTTGGAGGTATGGACTTTCATGGTTGGTTCAATGCTTGAGGTTCGGAGGTATAGCTTTACACATGTGTGCACTCACACATGCAAAGCAGGCTACAACAACACCATCGGTGTTATATATACTCTAAAATTGAAGCTGAAAGTCACGAAGACCAACACCCCAACATGATTCAAAAGGTTATAGTTATACACGTCGTTGCTCACATGTAAAAATCACCAGAAAAGCGCCAAATCTCAAGCTCTCATCATCGCCGTTGCTTTTTTCTCTCATCGCCAAAACTCAGAATCGCCGTTTGCACCCCATAGAGGCGACAGCTCCGGAACTGCACACATTCAAAATCTGTCTAGCATCCTTTTTTGGCTCGGACAGTCAACTTGGCTTTCACGGCTGCCATTTGTTCTTCGAGATGAGTTGCTACTCGCCCGGACTCTCTCATGGTCTTGGAATATGATGAGACCGTGATCGGCCCGTCCTCATTCTCATCCTCGTACTCGTGCCACGAGAGAAGGTGCTCAAGGCCCTGCTTCGATTTTGTTGCTTGTTGGACGATGCTCTTCCTTACAGCTGTGGGGTCTCACACAGGTTTCGGTGTTCGGGCACTGGGTTTACTTGCGAGAGAAAGCACAACACTGTGGTTACATGCGACTGTTGTTGAAGAGACTACTTTTACGAGTTAAAGTTTGTGCTTTACTTGCGAAGACAAAGGTTGAAGCCTCCATGTATTTACTTACGAGTTAAATTGGTGACTTTACTTGCGAGGATAAAAAAGTTGAAGCTTTTGGCAAGGTTGTTT